TGCAACCGAAGTACTTGCCCTGGACCAGAATCGAACCTACAGCCCTTCAGTCCATGGACCAATGCTCTATCTACTGAGCCAAACTGGCTAGGGCTATAAAGAACGCTTAAAACTCAATAATAAAAACAAACAGCTCAATAAAAAATGGGCAAATAATCTGAATAGACACGTTTCCAAGGAAGATATGAAAAGCCCATGCTCAACATCACTAACCATTAGGGAAATGCAAATAAAACAATGAGATGCCACTTAACACCCAAAACGTGGCTAAAATAAAAATGTGGGGTAACCAGTGTTGGCAAGGATATGGATTGGAACCTCATACACTGCTGGTAGGAATGTAAAAGTAGTACAGCTACTGTGTAAGACAGTCTGGCAATTCCTCAAGTGATTAAACACAGAGTTATGATACAGCAATTTCACATCTAGGTATATACCCCAAAGCAATGAAACCATATCTATACAAAACCCTGTAAACAAATATTAATCCATAGTTTATAGCAACACTACTTATATCAGCCAAAAGGTGGAAACAATCCAAATGTCCACCAACTGATAAACAAAATATGGTTAACCACACAATGGAATATTATTCAGCCACAAAATGGTGTGACATGCTACATGGATGTACCTTGAAAACATGCCAAGGGAAAGAATCTAGACACGAAGACCACATATTATATGATTCCATTCATATGAAAGTGAATGGATTTCTAAAGGAAAATCTATAGAGACAGGTTAGTGGATGTTTAGGCTGGGTGGGGAAGAAGGGGTAAAGGGGATGGCAGCTAAAAGATACAAGGTTTCTTTCTAAAGTGATGAAAATGTTCCTAAATTGACTGGAGTGATGGCTGCACATTATGTGAATATACTAAAAATCACTGTATTATACACATTAAAGTGAGTGGACTATATGATATGTGAATTATATATCAACAGGATGTTAAAAAAAAACCACTTCACACCTATGTCCATTGCAGTATTATTCACAATAGCCAAGATATGTAAGTAACACAAATGTCCTTCGATGGATGAATAAAGAAAATGAGGTATACTAGTAGCCCTAGCTGGTTTGGCTCAGTGGATAGTGTCGGCCTAAGGACTGAAGGGTCCCAGGTTCGATTACAGTCAAGGGCATGTACCTCGGTTGCAGGCTAGATCCCTGGCACTGGTCAGAGTGCTGCAGGAGGCAACCAATCAATGTGTCTCTCTCACATTGATGTTTCTCTGTCTCTCCCCCTCCCTTGC